AGTAAGTAGCATATAGAGATAGGCAATGGAAGGAGATATGGTAAGCAGTATAATATAGGAGGGAAGGTAACGTAAGAATGAAGGTAAAAGCAGTATATATAGAGCGCAGGACATAGATATAGTAACTATATATAAGACAATGATATATTTATAAGGCATTACATAAGAGAGGGTAAGTAGTAAACGAGTAGTATATAGATAGACATAGTAGTAATATGACCATAATATGAATATGAGGTAGGTAAGTGAGAATAAGAATTAATAGTATAGAATATATATGATAGTATGATATTATAAAGATGATATATAATTATAATATATATATATATATATATATATATATCGTATATATATAGCATGTAATAATGGAGTTAATATGTTATGAGTATATATATATAATGGTATAGATATGTATAGAATAATAATGTATAATATATAAGGTGTTATATTATAATGAGTATTAATAATATAACATAATAAAGTATATTATTATATATGAAATTATTAACATAAATATATACATATATATTATATGTTAGTATATAAAAGGTATAAAGAGGTATAAGAGATGTGTATATGAAAGATAGTGACAGAGCAGCAGTATAATATGGACGAAGAAATTGTAATAAGCATAAATAGTAAATGTATGATATATAAGATATAAGGGATGAATAGTATCGAATAGGTGAGTATAAATATGATATATATATTAGTAATATATGTATGTATAGATATATGGCCACTATATGTGTGTATATATATAATATATATAATAGAAATGGTAATATGAACATGTATATAAATAGTAATATAATATAATATATAATATATACTATATATGGTAAATGATATATATATATATATATATATAGTATAAAATATATATAAATATATATATATATAATATATATATGATATAATATATATATATATATTATATATAGTATATATATGTAATATACTATATAGATATATATATATAATAATAATATAAGTAGTAATGTATAATAAGCTAATGTAAAATATGTACGATGTTAATAAATAAGTATATATATGGTGAGATATATACGTATAGTATATATTATGTATAATATGTATATATTTATATATATATATATATATTGATATAATATAATATATACATATATTTATATATATTATACAAATTATATATAGTATTATTATAGTAATATAATATGTATACGATAATAGATATACATATATATAATATATATATATGATATATATATAAATATATTGATGTAGATAGGATATATATAAGTATACTATTATATATATATATATATATATAGTATATACAGTATATATATACATATATATATACGTATATATAATAGTATATATACACTAATAGATATACATATAGAGTATATACATAATATATATAATATATATATTTATATATAATACATAAATAATATATACATTATATATATTACATATATATATACATGTATATATATATAATATATTATTATTTATATATTATATCATATATAATACATGTTTATATAGTATATATATATGTATATATGTATGTGGTATATATCAACGGTAGATATTAAATATAATATATTATATATAATATTATATAATATATATATATATATATATGTATTATATGTATATATATAAATATATATTATATACATATATACATATATATATATATATATATTATATATTATAATATAAATATATAATATATTTATATACATATATGTGGTGTGTGTGTGTTTGTGTGTGTTTATATCTACATATATAAAGATTCTTAATTCTTAATTATGTATTATTTCTTTCTGTTTCCATTCTTTCTCTCTTCTTTTTTTTTTTTTTTTTTTTTGTTCCTTTTTGATAAAATTCAAAATCCCTGCAGACGCGGCAGTAACCCCGGCAAAGGGGAACCTCAACCCCTGCCGCAGAGTGATGCCGTGCTCAACTGTCCAGCCTGTTTAACTACACTGTGCATGGACTGCCAAAGGTCAGAGTAAATTTTATTTTTATTTTTCTGCTTTCCAACTTTTACAAATATCTCTGTTTATCTGTCTGTGATTTGTCTTTTTAATTTTACATATATTCTTCTTCTTGATACTGTATCAGCACTGTCAGCTATTTATATATATATATATATATAATATATATATATATATATATATATATATATATATATATATTTATTTATTTATTTATTTTATTTATTTATATTATATATATATATATTATATATATATATATATATATAACTTTCAGTTATTTTACCTGTGTATTTTCTCTATATTGACCCTGTGACTGATAGATGCATTTACCTTTTCCAGACATGCCATTTATAACAACCAGTACAGGGCAATGTTTGTTTTCAATTGCTCAGTTGACTGGTCAGAAGGTCTGAAATTCCCCACAAAAGGACAAAAGAAAAAGGAATTCCTCAAGAACAAAAGGAAGAACAAATACAGAAAGGAGCAAGAAGGTGCCAGAGAGT